CCATAGCATAGAATACTGTGTTAAAAGTTGGGATATTTTTTGTGATGTATACTAAAGATGTAACTTTTAGTCATAGCATAGCTTTCTCGCTTATGCTGCCATCTCACTCATGTAAGTTAAATGTATTAAATTACTGGGAGATTATCTTCACCACCATATAATAGGCCTGGGCAATTTAACCATATAATCAGACGGTTAAAATAAATTCAAAATATTTTAAATAACTTTTAACAAACTAAAAATAAATTAAAATTTTAATTAATCACATGATAACTAACTATATTTTAATAAATAGGATCTAACTATTTATTATCTGTTGTCCAAATATTATTCTAATAAACAACATGTGTTGAATTAATAGCTATAGTATTTATTTAACAATATTAAGATCATTTAATGTTTGTTTACATTATTTTATATATTTTAATCCGGATGAATTTGTGCAACTTGTAATTTACATTATTCTTTTCGATTACTTATTAGTAAATAAATAAAATAATGAAATGCTATTATTAAATAAAACACATGTGTCCGGGTCTTCGACTATATACGTTATTCAGATAAACAAGATTTTTAATATAAATAGCGTTGAGTTAAATGTAATAGTTATAAAACATTTTTAAATTGTAATTAAAAATAATTGCAACAATGTGCAAATTATTCAGTTTATTAGCTATATTCAGTATTATTTCATTGGTTCTCGGTAAGTTTAACAAGAATTATATAAAATTAATTACCTTCATTGATTAAATAATATTAATACACCAAGGTGAATCGGGTAAATGCTCGTGGTATGGACAGGAAGCTGAGGGCGCAGTGACCGCATGCGGACAGATCTTTCACATGAAAGAGATGACGGCCGCACACAAGACCCTCCCATGCGGTACACGGGTTAAAGTGAACGCCAATGGGCGCAGTGTTGTGGTGACGGTGACTGACCGTGGTCCTTTTGTGCCCGGACGCATACTTGACCTGAGCAAAGGTGCGGCAGAAAAACTAGGCTTTATCGATGCTGGTGTGGTCAGCTGTAATGTGACACCCATTTAAACATCATACTCGTGATTTATAGTAAAGATTAATTTATCTATATTTAAATTAAGTTTTGTAATGAGCTTTTTTAATTATAACAATTTATAAAAATAACATTTTGTTTTTATTTTTAAGGTACATTTTATTGCCTTGTGATGAAAATAATCAAGTTACAAAAAACATTAAATTAAAATATAAAAACATAATAGGGCGGTCAAGTGATTCCCGTCGTGCGGTAATCGATACCATTTTCAAACTAAATGAGTTAATTTAATTCTGTAAAATGGTTATAAGAGCCTTATATACTGCGCATCTGCAGCATACCTTATTATAAATATAG